CTTGAGTAACCCTTAGTTTTTCCCAAGCATTGGAACCCATTGGAATGGCACCTTGAGATAGAAGTGTTTTCCAAAGTGATCCAGCAATGGCAGGTGACATCAACAATGAAAAACCCTCTTCAGAAATGATGCTTCCAACCCCAACTGTTATAGGTGTACCATTCACCTGGTAAGGGAAATGAGTAACATTTAGTTTTTATAATAACAAGCACAATATGATTTCATTACTCTCTTATTTTCTTTCTTATTAGAAAAAGAAGCTTATTTTTTCTGGTACATATTAGAAAAAGAAGCTTATGTATTACTTTAAAACACAAAAGAATCTACAAATCAATTAATCTTACACTATAATGTCGATTTGTGCCGTATGGTTGCCCAATAAGATCACTAAGATTCAAATTATCCAGCACCTGCTTGCAAATCAAAATCAAAACCATTAGCACCGGAGCAATGTCAAACACAAAAATCAACCACAATTTTTATTAGAAATTCCCTTACTTGGTTGCTTTTTGGACCTGCAAGGGCGAAAAAGCAAGTCTGCTTGGTAATGTCTTGGATCTCTACCTTGTCAGCGAAAAAAATGTACCTACAGGGAATGGCTGGGTACCATAAGCAAGCATGTTAAAAATTATTTACTTCATTTTTCTCCTTTTTTCATTTTTCTCCTTTTCTTCTCTTTTGATAGTTTAGTAAGTTCAGGAGCTCTCCAGCATTTAAAATGGGCAATTCAGCTCAACTTAACTGAAAATAATGTAAGATTTGTGCATTTACTACATTAATCAAATTTCAAATATAATCAGTTTAGTTTGTTTTTTGTTGGACCATAAGAAGCAAAGCAACTAAGAATAGTTAACAAAAATCTGTCTCCTCTCTGAGTAGCATTCCTCTCTCCTGATAGCAGCTAATAGCATGTAAAGGTTATGTAGTCGGATATAATGTTGTGACTTGTGACCCTCTAAATGCTGGGACACATTCCCTGAGAGGGAAGACTTTGATTCCTTTGACAAAGCCATCCAGGACGAAAGTGCGAGCATACTTGTATGCAAAATGATATTTATAATGAAACACCAAAGATGCGTACCCAAATGAATCAAAGACAAGAAGACTGATGCACATACTTATTCAGCATTTCAGTGATGTATTGACAGGTCATTGGTGAAACGACCAAAAGAATTGCATTTCTCTGTGAATAACAAAGACCAGGAAGTTAACAAATCAACTTGAATCAATACACTGCCAAGCAAATTAAAATGTAGGAGAAATAAGAAAAGACAATACCATCATCCATGCATGAGCAATATCTATTGTCCTTGCTGTTGGTGTAACAAAAACCGTGTCACATCCCTATTGATTTCAATCGACCAAATGCTATCAATAAAATTCCATATGATGCATCAGGTAAAGTAAAATAAAAACAGAAGTTTCCGCTACAAATGAAATCAGAGAAAGTTACATCCCTAAAGACTTACCTGTCCTTCTTGGAGGCATTCAAAATCTGCAGTACTTTGGTTGTGAAGAAACTGAATGCGATCATCTCCACTGACTTAATCTCAGGAAAAAGAAAATAAAATTAGAGGTGAGTGAAGAAGGTGAAAAGGAATTTCCAAGGGAGAGAAAGCATGACATCTTTTGTGGTGCTTTAATTTGAAATAACATTTTCCAAGATGATTTCAGTTCAATGGAAATAAAATAATAGCACACAATAAGGTACCTCTTAGTCGCCCAAAATGTGAGAGATCCACAACCTAAGCCATCAAGTTCAACGCAAGGAAATGAATCAAACTGTGTAAATAATGTTTGCAAACCCCCCAAAAAATGAAGATATAGAAGACAATAATTGCCTAAAAGCCTGTCAAGAACTTATTCTAGAGAACTAAGGATACGAAAAATCTCAGGCACACACAAAACCTAGAAAGCTATATATAACCCAAGCACCCCATGGCTTGCTAACAATTAAACCCATAAATGGTTCTAATGTATAAACAGAAGAGAAGAGTTTGGTGTACTGAAATATAATTAGACTATAGCTTGGTACAATCCATCGAAACCCGTTTCACCTTATTGAAAAAGAAAGTCACTTAGAACGTATAGACCTCATGTTCAGAAGTATGAGAAAACAGAAAAGACAGCAATTTCACTAGAATGCATACTCACCACAACCCCATTGTCAAATGCATCTAATGCTTCCTCATCATTATCAAATGTTTCAATAATCCCATCCTCAGATACCTTTGCCCCCGCAACTGTCACTGTATCCTGCGAACAGAAAATTCACAAACCCAACAATCACAAATGTCATAATTAAAATAAAATAAAAAACAAAAAATAAAAAAGCTCGAAGCTTTATTCAATCTTAAGAGAGGAAGAGAGGAGCTCACTAAGAAGTCGTGATCGATGGGAGGGGGTGAGAGGTCAAAAGGCAAAGCCGCCGCGATGGGAGAAGAGGATGTTCTCGATGAGAGTTTGTACTTGTTCCTCTTCTCAGTCCAAAAGGCGCAATTTCTAAACCGGTGAGGCGAGCCCGTGACCAACCTAGGAAGATTGAAAGAAGTAGAGCCAAACACATGAATTCCGCACGGCGGCGTCACCGTCGCTGCTGTCATTTCTTCTTCCCTCGTGCCCTCGGCAGCTCCGCTCCGTTTTTCTTTTTGGTCTCCGCTACGTTACCGCCAATACCCGGTAACTGTCTTTTTAACCGTTACCATTATGGAGGATTTTTCTTTTTTTTTGGGTGAAAGAGTTTAATTTCGCACTCGCTCTGTGGGGATGAAAATTTATTATAATTAATTAAATTATTTCTTGGTTTAATAATTTTATTTAATTGAATGAAATTACACCACCTCCCCTTCACTCCCTATTTCCTTAAAATGGTAAAACCAAGCAAGGGTTGGCGAAAAGGGAAACTAAGGATACAACCTTTCATTAAGTTTAGAACTGAGTGTTCTAATTTTAATTGCTCCGAAGTAAGGACATAATATTCACGTTAGTTGAAAATCATAAGCAGTAGCAGAATTACTGTATTGCATTCCTTTAAATTTTCTAGATGAGTACGTGGTAAGGCTTGACCTATTACATATTGCACATGTATGATTTCTATACAAGTTCAGTCTGAACTATATATATGATTGAGCATTAGGTACATGGAGATATGCTAACTACACTAATGTTCCTGTCGAGTTCAACAGTAGTAATGGTCCAAAACTGTTATTGGACATCTTGAGTTGTTCTGTTTCCTTGCTGGGGAGACGCTGCGTAAACTTGTCCTTGATCTCTCACATCTCGGAACATGGAAAGAAATGGGTTGCGGCCTTCGGAAGAAGCACCTCCTAAGATCCATAGCAACATTGAACTGAATGAACTCATGTTTCCAGGGTTAGGACCACTGTCTGTTTGTTGTAGCTCTGACTGTTCAGGGATATGCTCGGGGTTGCCATTCTGCCCTGGGTTTCTGTTTTCTATGTGTTCTTGAAGACTGGCAATATCTTCTGCCCCATTTCGGGGGATTGCTTGGTCAGATCGAGGTTGAATCCCAGGACCAGAGGTCAAGTCCATATTCACCGTAACTGGATTCCTAGTGTTCAATCGTGTGATGTGTAGTGTAGATGCAAGTATTGTTGAGGAGGTGATGCGGATGTCTGGGTGTTGTTGAAGCTGAGATCGTCGAGTTTGGATAAACCGTTGGAGAGCTGGTACCTACAATTGGCATGGTGCAGGGAGCTTGATACAAACTCAATACTTTGAAATAATCCAAAATCGTGATAATGAAAAATATGCTGGTTTGTTTGATTCTTACCTCAAAACGGTTCCAGAAGTATAGAATGAGGTGCTGCACGAATGCTGCTGTTGTAGACAGAGCCAAATATGAAAATCCTGGAGAAAGTGTAAAAATTGGAAAATCAAGCTAAAAGGAACAATTTCCTGCAAAAGAAACTTTTAATGAAGAGGGTAATGGGACCTTACCATATGCATAGGAGAAGAAGTAGATATGAAAAACCAGAAAATAGAGCAAAAAGAAGCGAGGAAAGAACTTCATGGATATTGGTGTCCGGACACTGGAATTAAGTAGAAGAACAACCATATTACAGAAGGCATGAAACAACAGATGAAGAGTACATAATTCTTTGATAAATAAGTATATGGCTTATGCCATATGGTTGGTGTTGTTTATGTTCTCATAATCACCTTGAACCACGTAATTAAAATAAAGCAAAATGCCAAAAAGAGCCAAGTGACAACTCCATTCAGATAAGATACTTTTGGGTGCCGTACATATGCCATGTTGCCTCAATAAATATCTTCATAGGCACCACCTACCAACCTAAAACAAAATGCATAACCTAATCCTCACAATACATTTTAAAAGGGAGGGAGAGAGTGACCTGATCAGTGTAAATAGTTCACATAGCCAGACAAGAATTAAGACCATGAAAGCCAATAGCTGATCATCATAAAACTCAAACAGGAAAAACAGGATACCAATCATAATCTGCAAAAATTACCCACATTTTGTCAGGGATATTCCAAAAAAATTGCGTAATTTTAGACTTAGAAAGGCCTACAAATATTTTCAAAAGATGAGAAAGATGCTTCAAGGAACATTTATTCTATCAGATAAATTGAGATGATAAGATGTTGTATGCCTACCGGTACAAATACTAGTGATTCAATTACGTGCACAAAGATCAATTGAAATGTTGGAAGTCGATGTCGAGCATGGTGCTGAAGCTGCACTGAAATAATTTGAGAAAAGTAGGCCCAATCATAATTGGAAGGAAACAAATAATGCAAGCTTGACATGTTGCATTCGCACACAAGTATTGACATTTAACTATAATTGTAACTAGTGAATTCACCCATCAAATAATACAACCATAAAATTAAATGCCTGCTGCAAGATTGACAAACCAAATTAACAACTATCTTTGTTCAACAAATATGAGACAAACAAAAACTTGTGCATCAACATACTAGATATTGCAAGCGCCATAAACTTTATCCATCAACCCATCAAAAGAATGAAATTTAGCACACCTGTGAACTTCAGCATACGAGTCTGTGTTTCCCTCAAGGTAAATGATACTGACATGGTGGTTGTGAAGAAAACAAAAAGTGACATCATAAGCACACCACACTTAGTCACAAGATAGTCTGCAGTGAAGCCAGACAAAAGAATAGCTCATCCCAGGTTAGTTAACAACCATATATGATGAACAACTTTCAAGGTAATACTTTTCTCTGCAATCATATAAAAACAAAAAAACTCATTCTAAAATCTACTGCACCAATCTTTTTGACATGTAATGCTCACTCAATAATCATATAGATACATGCATATATATTGCAGTAATACGCATAGCCATACACAAATAACTCAACAAATACTTGTAACCTTGCAATACCAACATGCAGATAACATAGTTTTCACCAGTAAGTGTTCATACCAGTCAACCTCTTGTTGGCAAGAGGAGAGAAGATTTTTGCGGGAAGGGGTGGGGGGGGGGATGGGAAAGGGTTGTAACAACAGACAGAGCAGGGAAAGAGAGCCTTTTTAAACCCTGAACCAACAATACAAAAGGAAATGGAATAAGACCTCAACCTTGACCACATGCTTGTACATGGAATGCTAACATTAAAGGGAGGTAAAAAAAAAAAAAAACATAAAACTAAAGGACCCTAAAACGAGTGAATAAGATGAGCCCCTCATTGCTAACAAGAAAGAAATCTACTCTGTGGAAACAAGGTATAGACAAACCTCCAAATCTTGCAGGGCCCTCTGGTGGTTCTTGTGCATGACTAAGATTATAGAACTCCTTTGTTTGAAAGTTATAGAAATAACCTACAAGAATTTTAAAAGTATGATTAAAGAAAAAAAAATTCTGAACTAGGTCAGAACTCCATGCTAAAATTACTAAAAAAAAAAGAATACAATGATGCATACATGGCATGCTTTAAAAAAATCACGGATGCATCCATACTTTAAACATGAGTAAACAAACTATAAAAATTGCAAAATTGAGATTTTGCATTTCCAGATAATGCATTTACAAGACTGAAGAGTGAAGACCAGATGTACAATTAAAATGCACAATATTGAATCCATAAAATTTACAATGGTTCACTTAAAGTGGGACTGCAGAGCTAACATTAGAAGTTGATGGATTTACAGAATGAAAAGATTCATCCATTCACTTGATAACAGATAAAAACAGATAACAGCATCAATGTGAAGTGCACTGATGAAAATATTGCCAAAAGAAAAGCAGAGAGTTAGATGGATGTCCAGGGCAATTTCATCCATGATGAACATAACAGAGAAGGAAATAAACTCTGCTGCATTCACAGACTTGCAGAATAACCCATTGTGTCAAGGAAGTGGTAGAAGTTAACTGTGTGATATAAAATGAAACATGAATGCCAAAAGACAAATTGATTAACATGGTAGCTCAGATCCAAAGGGTTATATTGACTTTCCATGCGACATATCTGGTGCACAACCACCAATGATGCATGTAAATAATACGTAAGCGTTGCATCCATCAAACTAATTATTACCTTGACCAGGAGAACTCAGTAAACTATTCATCAAAATGGTATCATATCCAACAAATCTATTTATGAGAAGCTGCTGCCACCTGCAAGCAAGACATATTCATTAAACTATGCTAAATAATCATTTCTTGATTAGGGGATTTTAGGTGGAGAAAAACCCCATAGTGAGGAGGATGAACAAAAACGGAAGAAAATGGAAAATGATTTGCACATGCAACAACAGTTTTGCCTTGCTGATTGCCCTAGTGGGAATAATTTTCCAGTAACAAGGAAAAATTGTGGGACGTGACAGGAGCTAACAGTCACACGGGGCATGTGACAAGATCCTGTCAAATGTGGACTCATTTGGTCCATCTCAAAAGGTTTAAGGTTTAAGGAATTGAAAATTCGAGAAAATGTTAAAAATGAAGGTTTAAAAATCAGGTACAGACTTGGGCTTCTTAAGGACTTCTCTATCTAAATGTCACATTACAGCCTGCAGGCACTTGTGTTTAATTACAATTTAAACACAAGATGTCCACATCTGCTGGAAATTTGGACCTTATTGGAGCAAATATAGTTTTTCCAAGACCAAAAATAGATAACCTGTTTCCAAAGCAGGCATGCCGAGCTGATATGCTAATATTAACTGTACGTATGTTATGACGAGACCTAGCTCCTTCAGGTAGCAAGAAGTACCCCTGCAGAACAAGTCTTTTGGCATTAGAAGTATAAGAAACAAACTTTTGATACCTGGTAAGAATTGGACATCCTTGCCTATTAGAATATACTCAAATACACCAATGCTTCACAAGCAAAAAAAAAAAAGACTGCAAGATCAGGAAAAAGAAAAAACTAACCTTTTCCTTGGTGTACAGATAAGTAGGTTCAAATCCCTTGCTTCTTTTCTCAAGCCATTGCACTGAAATAGAAAGAATGGGATATTTAAATTCTAAAAATCATTATAAAACCTTAGGACAAAAGTATAATGGAGAAAAATAGAGTCAGAATGATGATTATTATCAGAATAAAAACTTAGTACCCTTGCAATCTAGTCAAGGGAAGAGAAATTAAATGTATTTTTGTCTGAACCATTATAATGCAGCATGTTAAAAAGAGAAAAGAAAAGAAGAGTGAACTAGAGGATAACACCAACCTGCATATGAGTTAATGTGGTCCAAGTGAAGCACGCACAACCACTTAGAAACATCAAGATTTAAATTCTTACCAGTAACATCCTGCACTTGAAAAGTTCAAAATCAGACAATATGTAAGTCATGGAACTACAAACTAGGTGAGAGGGGAAGCACTACTCAAAGAAGCAACAAGAAATAACAGAGGTCATATAATCAGAAGGATATATTTATGGATTCACTCACCCACAATTTCTGAAAGCTTCCAAAAATTTGAATAGCAAATTTCCAAATGAAAGATAGACGCCTGTGCAACTTTCTGCCAAAGTGGCTGATTGCTGCTTTAAATGTTTGCTTGACTGAAAAGGAGAAGCCATGGTGTGGCTCTTCCTTCTTAGCTTTAGTAGAGCTTTCCACTTGATGTTTACTAAGCTTGGCAACAGTCTTCCACAACTTCAACGCCAATTTCCCCCTCCTCTCACTCCAACCAATCCAGTTTAGCCAAAGCTTCTTAGCCAAAAGTGTCAATCCATCACCATCCATAGATGCAACTTCCAACTTTTCACTTGCAGTTCTGGTATCAGGAATCTCTACAACATTAGGTTCAAACTCATTTTGTGACCACAAGCCTGCACTAGTTATCTATATCAAAAAAGAAAATCAGGTGCCTTAGATATGGACGTTTGCAAGCTTAAGAAACAAACTCAAGCTCTTCCACCAAAACAAATAAATAAAGAACTTGATACAAGGCCAAAGAAAAGCTCATAATGTACCTCAATTTGAATAAGTTGGGCTTCTGTTGATTCAACTCCAGAGAACTCACTTGAACAGCCGGGCTTGATATGCAAAAGAGTCAAATGCAATTAAGGGTTCTTTAATTGTCATGAAAAACTAAATAAAAATAAAGAAAAAGATTAAGGAGGAACAAAATCAACATTTTCACTATTAAAACAACAATAGAATTAGATGATATGACACAACCTGAAATAAAACTACAACACAAATCCAAAATTGGAAAAACCCACAAAGGAAACACAAGAAAACCCGAAGCATGAGAATACCCATCTAAGGAATCATAAAACAACGCAGTTTCTAATGATGAATT